AAAAAAAAAAAAAAAGAAAGAAAGAAAGAAAAGAAAAAGTAGCCAGGCATTGTGCAGACCTGTAGTCCCAGCTATTCGGGAGGCTGAAGCAAGAGGTTAGCTTGAGCCCAAGAGTTTGAGGTTGCTGAGAGCTATGATGATGCCATGGCACTCTACCCAGGGCAACAAAATGAGACTGTGTCTTGAAAAAAAAAAAAAGGAGTAAAAAATAGAATATATTTACTATGTTTTGAACTTCCTTTGAAAATAATTTAACTAATGGTATTTTGAGGTTGCTGAGAGCTATGATGATGCCATGGCACTCTACCCAGGGCAACAAAATGAGACTGTGTCTGAAAAAAAAAAAAAAGGAGTAAAAAATAGAATATATTTACTATGTTTTGAACTTCCTTTGAAAATAATTTAACTAATGGTATTTTTAAAATTTTGCAGACACCTAAGATCCTCTCAGGGCACACCAGTGCGCTATGGCATATTGTTGAAAATCACTGCTCTAGTGGGCAGGAATCCAGATGTGACCTTTGTCTCCTCCCTCCTTCAATCAGCCCCCTCCTCTCAGCCTCAGATCACCAACTCCTCTGATTAGGATCTCATGGTGGTGGTGTGGGTGCCACACCCTAGCAGCCCTTTCTCCAGCTTCCACCCTTCTCTGGTGCCCAGCCCCCTCTGCAGCACTAAGACCTTGTTCACTGTGGCTCATCCCTGGACACACTAAGCTAAGCCACTCATACCCAGTGTCCTCCAGAACCCCTAATACCCAAAAGTCTCAATGATCCAATGATCACCTTCAGTACCTATATACCCTTTCCCATGGCTTTAGTGTGAGTCTTCTGGAGCAAGAGTCAATCCTCTTTCTCTGTTCACCAACTCTCTGCTATGCAGAGGGGAGAATCAGTGCGTGTTCAGGGGGCAGAGTGGCATGCCCTCAGGACTAGAGGGCAGAGCTAGCCATCTGCAGAACTCCTGTGCTCCACTTGCTTCCCCCTATCCCCCACCTTCCCCTGGCTGCTCAGAGGAGGTACCTACAGAGAGATAGATGGTAAAATTCTTTGGGTAGGAGCTGGCTTAAAGAAGTTCTAGTTCTGATGGTTTGGAGATTTCTTGATAGTGTTTGGGTTGAGAAAGGAGCGGGGCAAAGTGTTGGGCAGTTACACCCCCAACCCCCACCAAATCAAACAAGCAAAGTAAACCCACCTTTGGGATCTGAGCTAGGAGAGCTGTAACTGGGAAGGGCTGAGGGGAAGGAATAAGCTAACAGGGACTTGGTTTCTCTCTCTCCATCTGTGAAAAGGGAAGGCTGCCTCTCATACCCACACATAGTCTGGTCCTACACTTCACAGAGGTAGACCTAGACCTAGACAGACCTAGACCTCCAGAGGCCAAAGCTTCACTCACCCAACACATATTTATTGAGCATTTACTTTGCGTCAGGCATTGTTGGATATAGGAGTAAATAAAAAACAGTTCCAGCCAGGCACAGTGGCTCATGCCTGTAATCCTAGTACTCTGAGAGGCCCAGACAGGCGGATTGCTTGAGCTCAAGGAGTTCAAGAGCAGCCTGAGCAAGAGTGAGACCCCATCTCTAAAAATAGCTGGGGGTTGCAGCAGGAACCCATAGTCCCAACTACTTGAGAGGCTGAGGCAAGAGAATTACTTGAGCTCAAGAGTTTGAGGTTGCTGTGAGCTATGACACCACAGCACGCTACTAAGGGTGACAAGGCAAGACTCAGTCTCAAAAATAAAAAGTCCCTATTATAATGGTATAATTCTAGTGGCGGAACTATATAGTATGTCAGATGGTGATAAGTACCATGCGAAAAATGTAGCTAGGTTGAGGGGAATAGAAAGGAGAGGGTGGGCTCGGCACCTGTAGCTCAAGCCACTAAGGCACCAGCCACATACACCAGAGCTGGTGGGTTCGAATCCAGCCCAGGCCTGCCAAACAACAATGACAACTACAACCAAAAAACAGCCAGGCATTGTGGCAGGCGCCTGTCATCTCAGCTATTGGGAGGCTAAGGCAAGAGAATCAC